TTTCCATGATAACCATCAGTTTGCTTGTCCTCAAGCTCGTGATACCTGTCTTTTGTGCAATGGTTTAACTAACTTTAAGGTATTACTTAAGTTTAAGACCAAGATGAGGAGAAAACCTTTAAAACTTAAGTGAACATTTTAAGGAAACCTGGAGGAAGAGATGTGTTTTGTGCAACTGATTTTACTTTAAGAAAGCCTTAACATGGACTTGGAACATGGAACTTGAGGTGTTTTGTGCAACCAGCCCCTGATCCTCCAAGCAGAGGATGAGATTAGCTATTATATAACAGGGACGGTAAATAATTGTTATTGCCATGTTAATGCCATTGTTATTGTTTATAAAGTGCTGCCGACACGTATGTTTTATGTCACTAGAGACTGATGCTGTTGTGTTATGTGTCACGCCCATTGCCTCTTTTGTTCCCGCGATGCCAGCATGCTGTCTAAAATCAAAATCACACACTGGAGTGGCATGATGCTTGATTGTGTAGTTCTGTGAAAAATATGCAAACGCAGCATAAAGACGATACTTCATAGCCACCCTGAAGCATGACCTCTGTATTAAAATACCAGCCGTTTTGACGTTGTTGCGGCTTGTAATCGATGACATGCTGTTGTACAGTCATTAAAATGAATAAAGTACGGTCACAGAGTATCTGTTAATAAATATGTCATACCAATAAACTGTAAACTTGTATTCAGTCTGAATATTAAACATGTTGCTGTTAAAAACATAAAAAAAATTATCAGGCTGCCTATAGATGCTCTTTTTCTGGAACCCTGTCAATGCCAATTGGAAATGCGATTTAAATATAACAAAACCATAGCCCGACTGTATTGCAATGCAGTTGCATTCATTGGCCATCAGGGGTAATACTTTCCCAGAGGAGTAGAGGCTGTTCCAGTAGGAAATTAGAACCCATGGTCTTGGAATCACATGTTCAGCAATCACATGTAGTTAAAATATTTGGATGTTTACATACTTTTACTTTTGGTTTCTGTTATTCCCAAATCAAAGTTATTTAATTTGAACCAAATGATATTATGTGTAACTTTTCCAGTTCGTCCTGCCCCACACCCGAGGGAGCTCCCATGGCCAGACCCGCATCATCCGCAAGGCCTATGAGCAAGACTTCTACACCCACATGATGGAGGAGTGCTATGAGCTGTGGACCCAGCTAGAGAGGGAGGCTGGTGTCAAACTGTACAGGTAAGCAGTCAGCAGAAACACAGAGAGAGAAAACCCATTAAATGGAACATAACAAAAGCTTTGCCAGAACACGGGGATTTGTCACATTCAAGGTGCTATGTACGCACAAGAGCAGCAACTCAATCTACGGGAGCCATAAATGCATGACTTTCTCATTACCTCCGGCATCACTGAATCACCCCTTGACAGCTTCCATGCCTTTGAATGAGGAACAGGGGCTTTTTTCATCTCGCTAAACCTCTGATTTTCATACGCAGACCGGGGAGGAATTTGTGTGTTTATAAATATGACAGTCGCATCAAACTGTGAGAAACCCTCCTGCAGCACTTTAAGTTTCCTGGTCATATTACCTCCAAGCAGCCCTGTTTGTTCTCAGTACCAGAGAGCTGAATAACACATGAATTCATTATTCATGTCTCAGGGTAATAGTTCATGGTACCAAGCCACGCCCACATTATGTTCCCAGGAAACACAGTGTGACTCCCTGTCCACTGTGCACCCCTCCACAGCTCATGACTGATGGGTCCACATCTGATGGCCACCTGTGCCCTTGGGCTGGCAAAAAGTGTCTGCATCACAATGAGAAATGTCCAGGCCCGGCTGGTGTGAGCAATGCCTCCCACCTCTGCTCCTGCGTCTTGGACAGATGGAGCCATCGCAAAAGGGTCAGAGTGAAGCTAAAACCTTTTTATTTTCTCCCCATACATGGCAACACATGTGCACAACCAGCAGCTGAACTAGTGCCACCAATCACTAAGTTTGACAGGTTGGACTAGATGAGGTATCATATTTACGATCCTACACTTGCATGGCTTTCCCTTCCTCCGTCACACACTCGTAAACACACAAGCACACAGGGAGACATAGTCATAAAATTTTCTGACGAATGGCTGAAGCCTTTAGCTTGGGTTGTCTGTGCCTTATGGCTGCTGACAGATGTCGGAGCAGCCTTTAGAAAACACTGCTGGCAAAGGGCGAGTCAGCCATCTATCAGGCAGATTGCTGAATTAGACCCTGTGTTTCACAACCTCTTACTCTGGGACGCATGTAACTTCATACTGGAGCTGCTGTGATCTGCTGTATTACTGTCCACTGGTCATATGATGTCCAGTCATAGTCCAGTTTATTACAACCGGGGTTTTTAATCGAACTGCACTTCCTTGATTGTGTTTCATATCCTCATACAACATATTCTCATGGAACGGTTCGTATGATTTTCTACAAATTTGTCCTCAGGAATGACATTTCATCCTTAACATACAGTTACGTAATTAACGTAATAAAACTAGTTAGGTGTCTTTAGGTTTAGGCAAGTAAAGCTACATAGGTTAGGGTTTAGGAAAAGAAACATAGTAGGGAAGTATGACTCAAAGTTCACTCAAAGTTCACAGGGATCCGAGCAGGCGACTCCAGGGGAAAGTCACGGGCGAAAGTCAGTTTCTTTGTGACCCATCTACTGCTCCAGCCTGCCTCTTTACAAGCACTCAGGACTGCTTCCTTGTTTACTGCCGTCAGCACATTGGTTACATCATCACAGGCTTTCAAAATATGTGGGATATGTCCAAATTTGGGTGCATTCCTTTTCATAGGAAAACACACGAAATCACCCTGCTTAACCATCGTACCAAAGACTATAAAAATGGGACCCATTGCCTCCCTGCTTGGCACTCAGCATTAGGGGTTGGAACTGGGGGATACATCACCACATGTTTCCTGAGCGCCACACCTCTGCTGCTCACCGCTCCCTCAGGGGATGGGTCAAATGGGGAGAATAGATTTCACACACAGGTGTGTGACAATCAGTGGGACTTTAACTTTAATCTCTCTAACTCCGCCAGGACGCCGACGTCCTCGCTCCCCTCCTCCTCTGTTAAATGGTATCTCCCAGGTGCACTACGTCATCAAACCATGTGATGTTTGGTATTGTCAGATTCAGGAAGCTCTCGACTTTTCAAAAATAACATCGTTTTTCTTTTATTTCTTATGTATTTCGCACCAGAGCAGCCTAAACACACAAAGTCCAAAATAGTGATGAGTGATGACAAGTCATGTCATGCTGTTTTTCAACGGGAAAAGTTAAAGGATTACTCGCGATCTTATGCAGAGCCCACAGGGGGCCTTAGATCTTTTATAAAAGGTAAGAGTCTCACTCCTACCACTATTTTTGGCTGAGATACATCGTCTAGAAAGTGGGATCATAACTTTCACGTTTCATATGGCTTTATTTGGCCTGATTTCAATCATTACAATGTTTGAAGCTGGCTGAGTGTTGTTTGATCACTGATAGTACTGTTTTGAAGTCGAGCGACCGACTTGTCTTTTGGAGCTCTGCCTGGATCTTTTCATGGAATAAACACTGTAGAATGGTCATACTTTGTGCTTTCTTCTTCAAATTTGAAATAAGTGTTCATTGATAGTGTGCCTACAGCCCCATAAGGTCATTTACCTGCTCAGATGAAGCCACATCCTGAGAAACATTTTTTATTTTAGGCAAAATCTTCATTTTTTTTTTACTGAAATCAAAGGCCCCTTACTCTGCCTCTGTATTACCTAGAGTGTTTCTGACACTTTCACAAGAAACTTTGGAGAGTCTTCAGTTCAGACGCTACAGTCATTTTAATTTGGGTATGTCATTTTAGGTGTTTTTGCTACAAAATGGGGGTGGAGTACAAGATGGCATATTTGCAACCACACAGCTTCTTGCTTTCTTTCTTTTTTTCAACATAGTGCTGTTTTTGGCTTGAATGCCTGCTAACAACCAGGTTGGCCAAAGTAGTTTAAAAGAGAAAACTGAGTCTAACAGCAAAATTATTACCCTTATAATGTTTGATCTATCAGAGTTTACAGACTGACATCCTGTCTCAAACACTGAACTCCTGTATTGTTTAGTTTTGCCCACACAGACATACCTGTGCAATGAAGGATTATTGCAAACGTTTCAGGTGCATTTACCACCTTTTCAGAATCTCCAAAAAAGTGGGTTTAGATCATCCGGATAATTTGTTGGTTTGTTTCCTGTCTGATCATCTGACTGCTTGTGTTTCTTGCCCCATTGGATATTGTTGTAGCAATGTCACTATGTTACCAGATCTCTGCACTTTTGACAGTTTTATTTCTGTATAGCCAAATATCACAAATTTGCCGCAAGGGGCTTTACAATCTGTTCAGCATGACACCCTCTGTCCATAGACCCTCACTTCGGATAAGGAAAAACTCTCCCAAAGAAATCTTTTATGGTGAATAAATGAGAGAAATCACACAAAGAGCAACTAAGTCCCTCTTTTAGAGATCTCTACGAGAGAGGGGGAGGGACAGAGGAAGGGAGAAAGAGAGAAGAGAGAGAGACAGTGAGAGAAAGGACAGAGCACACAGTTGTGCTTGCTGGACACAAACAAACAAAGTTATTGATGGTGTCTGAAATGTATTTTTTGACTCACAGGCCAAGGGGGCTGGTAGATAAAAAAATTGAGATTGTTGAGGTGGGAAAATAAAATTTAATGATTATAGAATAAGGCTGCACCTTAAGAGAATGTGAAAGAAAAGTGAAGGGGTCTGAATACCTTCTAAGTCTACTATATTATTTCACAAGGACTTTATGTAATTACGTTGTTGTGAAAACGTACTTGGTTTCATACATATAGAAGAGTCAAAAACTCATTTCTCTGTTTCACAGTCAAACTAGTTGGACGCAGTATAGTCCTCACAGTAACTGCGGATATTTTTGTTACTGAGCAGTTTTTATATAAGATCAGCAATGCCTCCTTTAGTTATCTTGACATGGTAAAGGGTAAAGTCTATTCCAACAAGTTGCTAACACACTGTGGGAAGTGTAACTGGTCTGACGTAACATATGTGTAGTCAGGATGACACACGGGGATGACTGCTACAGTATTCACTATACTATTACTTTAGAATGTTGTGTCTTTTACCAGAAATAATTACCTGACTACTGTTTCACATGTTCTATTGTTTCATATTGTACTCACCACTGCCACATCCTGAGCTTTTTTTTTTCAATTGTTAACCCTGTAAAACCCAAATATAGAAAAAAGAGCACCTCTCAGATGTTGTTTAAGGAGGCCTCTGATGCAGAAATTTAAGGATAATTTAATTTTTTACGTTATAGTAAGTTTTTACAGAAATGTTGTAATATTGCAACATTGGGTCTGCATGGTAGCAGAATTTGTGTATTTGCACTCACACTGTCAAACAATAGACAACAACTAAGGGTTCATTTTCAGTGTGGATTGCTTACAAAGCTCTATCACAGTATATATCATGAATAATAATCACACAACAGTCATACTTTTGTGAACCATAATTTATTGAGCTAAAAAAAAACCAGAATGAAATCTTTGGGGCAGACCCAGGACACGCTAGCAGAACCAGGATTAGTGGGAGAAGACAGCGATGCCAACTTTGTTCAAAAACCAGTGCCCAGTGTTCATGTACAGTGGTACTCCAGAAAGCAGTTCCTTTCCTTTGAAAAGCAGAGACGGACACTTCACTTCCTGCGGAGTGGAGTAGCCTTTATTGCAGTGTCTGCAGCGTCCTCTTTTTGTCTTTACTGGGAAATGTGCAATCATGTCCTAGCGCACATCCACTGGTGGTACACATGGCCTCTTCAGAGCAGTCCCAGGTCTCTGGTGTTACTGTCATGGATGTCAAAGGGCTCCGTGATGTCAGTGGTGATACAAGGCTCCCACTGCCTAAAGATGGTCGCCCTGTCCTTGGTGTGTTGACACTTGATTTTGTCTGAATAAGATGAAAAAAAGATCAATTACAATGTCAAACATACATTAAAAACCGTATAATCAGTGAAATATCAAATAAGGTAAACAACAGAAATGGATTCTTACCAGGATGAACTGGCACAGCACCCGCATCACTGCAGAAACCGCACCGACCCGCCGATCCATCTCACGCTTCATTCTACCCTCACTCGTGAACAAGACCCCAAGATACTTGAACTCCCTCGCTTGAGGCAGTAACTCTCCCCC